GGGGGGGGGGGGGGGGGGAGGAAGGTGTCTAGGCCGTTTTCTCTTTGTTTCTACCCGCATTACGGCTCGACTAAATCAGGATTCGGACCATAAAATTTTATATTGGGAGTAAAGTATTCCCTGACAAAGGCGACTTTATACTCAAAACTCGAATGCGACATCTGTTGTTAAAAATGAAAGAGTACTAACCACTCTACCACAACCCTAATTAGTTGTTTAGACCTTCTCTTTTAACTCTTTTCCTAACCATGATACAAAATATCTATCCACCTTTTGTTTATAATTTGACCAAATACAACTCATCCCTAAAACCATGCATGTAACATTTTCAACTGCTTTTGTCATTTTATTTTTAACTAGAGTCATATTCATTTAATTTTTGGAACTTCATTCTCTGGTGTGAATAGTTTGAAGGTTCCAAATGTTGCTTTCATGGTGGTTCCAACTGTATACCAGAATCATCCAACATGACTTAATATTAAGTTGTTAAATGGCAATTAATAGTGCTTTAAATATGTAACTATCTCTTATTATCTGCTGATAAAATTTCTAGCATTATATTCCCAAATTAACCTCCTTTGTGTAATATACTTGACCCCTGTGAAAACGACTATTTTTCAACTTCAATGTGTTTACTCGAGCGTGTGAAAACCTCATTTATGCAAAATACATGAACGTGACGTCAAAACTTCTAAATATTCTTTTTTTTTTTCAACTTTAACGAAATATTGTTCAAAAGCTTACCATATATCTTCATGTAATACATGCAAAAATATCTGGAAAAAAAAAAAGAAAGGAAGAGAAAAGAAGAGTACGTACATAGCTTTAGATCATCTACATGATATTAGATCAAATCTCATTGATTAATCACTACCACAAAATTAGAATTAGTACGAATTTTGTCGCTAATCTGTCACTAAATTGCTCGTAGCTAACAAAATATTTCGATAATTTTGTTAAGTAGGATTGACTAGCTAGTGATAGATTTTGTTGTTTACCTGTAGAATTTTTCAGTCGCTAATTCGTATATTTTTAGTAGTGAATCCAATTTAATGCGACCATTCTAGCCCATGAAATTCCATTACGAACACAACTTAATTTGTGCAGACCAGCACTGGGAAGAATCTTTATTGTGTTAGCTTTCATATTAGCTAAGTTCAACTTGCCATATGAAGTATAACATTTGTCAAAAGTTCTAGGGTTATTTAAGGCATGTCACACTTTCAATTGGAAAGAATTATTTGTACGTTCACTGTATTATATAGTATGAAAAATTTTATTTTGTGCCTCACACAATTGACACTAGTTGTTTGAGGCTCTTTTTTATCTTACAACTGTGTGGGTCCCAGAATTTTGTGGACCCAGATGTGTAAGATATGGGTCCACAAATATGTGAGATAAAAAGAGGACTCACACAACTAGTGTAAGTTGTGTGAGACACAAAATAAAATCACTCATATAGTATACTGAAAAGAACCTTCACTATTCATACTCAGGTTTTAAACAAGATTTTCCACTGCAGTGAAGCAGGATTTTCGCTAACGGGTACATAAAAAGAAAAAAGTTAAAAATTAAAAGAAATCATGGCAAGTGGAAATTGAACCAGCGAGTCAGCGATCTTACAAAAATTTTGAACCCCCTTGACTACTGAGCTATGCTTTTGGGATGTGTCAACAAAATTCAAAATATAAAATATAGAGGTACAAATCGAATTTTACCTAATATATACAATGTAATTTTTCGGAACACCCGTCCGCCCCTAAATCCGCCCCTGGCCACTAGAGATATAATTAGTAAATATAAGTTAAATTCAAAAAAATTGCGCGGTTAGTACTGTATGAAATTTAGCTAACTGTAAGTGAAATTCATGAGAATTGAGAAATCATGTGGTTACAATACGGATCTAAGAAATTCAGCTAATTAAAGACATTCTTTTGGACCCAACCCGAATTGTATGTATATGCAAAAAGATAACTACTGAAGTCATCATTGTCTTTATAAATTTCATATGGTGGGGTTGTTAAAAAGATCAGTTATTCTTCTTTATATGTGGGACTCTGCCCATAGTCCTTTTGGGCCACTTTGATCACTTGCAAATAAATGGTAACAAGATTGTTTTTGTAAGGACTTTAAAAAAGAAAGATACCTATAAATAGGTCTTTCTAAGATTTGTTTGTTTCTTTGATGTGAAAAATAAAAACTTAAATCAAAATTATAGGTGCCAAGTGGATGGGTTGGACTAAATTTGAGCGGGTTACAAGAGGTTGAGCCACTAATCGGGGCTTTTGCATCTATACCCGTTTTATGATCTCAATTGAACCTAAACCCACTTTGCAAAAAAATTGCAAGCCTACCCACTTTACGATCAACTTCAGACTTATCGGATCTGAAGTTAAAAAAAATAATCTGAAGTGAAAAAATTACACTTCAGATACACTTAAGGCCATTTAGGTCTGAAGTTCAACCAAATGCTTTCATGCACTTAAGACCAATAAGTCTGAAGTGAAAAATTGCACTTCAGATGCGCTTAAGGACAAAAAGTCTGAAGTGCAACAAATGTTTTCCTACACTTAAGGCCAATAAGTCTGAAGTGAAAAATTGCAGTTCAGATGCACTTAAGGCCAAATAGGTCTGAAGTGCAACCAGTGGTTTCATGCACTTAAGGCCAATAAGTCTGAAGTGAAAAATTGCACCTCAGATGCACTTAAGGCCAAAAGGCCTGAAGTGTAACAAACGTTTTCCTACACTTAAGGCCAATAAGTCTGAAGTGAAAAATTGCACTTCAGATGTACTTAAGGCCAAAAGGTCTGAAGTGCAACCAACATTTGTATGCACTTAAGGCCAAATAGGCCTGAAGTGCAAATTTCCCATAAACAGAAATTTGTTCTTCGAATTTTAACAATCCAATAAACGATTTAATACCTAAATCTACTCCAAATGAGCTAGAATTTGAAGCATAACCTCCAAAGATCATCAAGAACTGTAACGACCCGACCGGTCGTTTCGAGCTTTTGCACTTTGATCGCCAGTTCTCGGGCATGACTTGCCCCGTGTAATGCATTATGACTGATGTAGATTGTTGGTTTTGGTTTTCAGGAAAAATCGGAATGAATTTGAATGAACAATCTCAGTTGAAAGCTTTGACCAAGAGTTGACTTATTTGTATATGAGCTCGGATCGGAATTTTTATGATTTGGGTAGCTTCGTTGGGTGATTTATGACTTAGGAGCGCGATCGGAATGCATTTTAGGAGTCCGTGGAAGGATTTGGCTTGAATTGGCAAAGTTGGTATTTTGGCGAATTCCGGTTGATAGGTGAGATTTTGATCCGAGGGTCGGAACAGAATTCTAAGAGTTTCTGTAGCTTCATTATGTCATTTGTGATGTGTGTGCAAAATTTCAGGTCATTCGGACGTCGTTTGGTCGGATTTTTGATCGAAAGCGAGTTTCGGAAGTTCTTGGCAAACTTAGGCTTGAATTCGATGAGAATTGATTGTTTTAGTGTTGTTTGAGGTGTTTTAATGATTGGAACAAGTTTGAATGATGTTTTATAATGTGTTGGTGCTTTTGGTTGAGGTCCCGAGGGCCTCGGGGGAGCTTCGGATGGTCTAACGGGCTAGTTTTGATGTTGGAGAGTTGCAGATTTTTCATTCCAGGTGTTGCAGGTTTTAAGTCTTCGCGATCACGTGGGTTAAGCCGCGATCGGGTAGAAGGAAATTTGGAGGCAGGCGAATTTCTCTTCGCGTTCGCGTCTGAGGGTCCGCGTTCGCGGAAGGTTGGTTAATGATGCTTCGCGATCGCATGGTATGGATCGCATTCGCGTAGAAGGAGACGGAGTCCAGTGATTTTAGTCATCGCGTTCGCATCAGATGAGCCGCGTTCGCGTAAGAGGGGAAGTTGAAGCTTCGCGTTTGCATCCTTTTTGTCACGTTCGCATAGACCATTTTGAGGCCTGGAAGATTTGCTCATCGCGATCGCGAGCCTGGGGCCGCGATCGCATAGAAGGAATCGTCAGCTGGGCAGAAGGGTTTTTAAACATATTTCATCCGCGGGCCTAAGTCATTTTCCTCCATTGTTGAGTATTTTTAGAGCTTCTTGGGAGCAATTGAAGAGGGATTCGAAGAAGATTGATTGGAGGTAAGTTCTATGAACTAAAAACGTGATTATATTGTGGAATTAACCTAGAAATTCATGGGAATTTAACTAAAAATGGAAGACTTAGGGCTTGTGTTTTGAGATTTTTTTAAATTGGAAATTTAAGGGCCATTTGAGGTCGGATTTGAGAGTTTTTGGTATGTATGGACTCGTGGCGAGATAAGGAACCCGTTGATGTGAAAATTTCTGAGTTTCATGAAGTGGGCCCGGGGCTCGGGTTTTGCTAATTTCAGGATTTTTGATATTTTTCGATTGTTTTCGCTTGGGCTTTGTTCCCTTAGCATATTGTGATGTATTCGCTCTAATTTTGGATAGATTCGACGCGCGTGGAGGCCGATTTGAGGAGCAAAGGCGTCGCGAGCTATAGATTTCGCCGGTTCGAGGTGAGTAATGATTGTAAATGATATCCTGAGGGTTTGAAACCCCGGATTGCACATCGTAGTGCTATATTGAGGTGAGACACGCGCTGGATGATGAGCGTGGGGTCTTTTACTACTGGGGATTGTGACTTGGTCCGTCCCGATTGATGATTTACCGCATATTTGATTGAAACTTATTTGTTATCATCATAATTTGGGCTGATTGCCATATTTGGGCTTCGTGCCAATAATTGAACCCCTTCGAGGATGGTTGTTGATATTTCCTCACTGTTTTGTTTTTATACTTGAACTCAGTCATGTATTTTCCACTGTTTTTAAAACTCAGCCAAGTTTATTTTGCTTTAACACTTGAAATGATATTTCCAATACTATTTTGGGCTGAGCATC